ATTTAAACATGATAAAAGAAGGAAAAAGGAAAAATAACGAATGAAAGGTCCACATGAACTCCAAAACTCAATTATCAGCAAAACAATTAATTAGTTATTAAAATCAACAACTACGAAAATAAAAAATAAAGGGAAAAGCTAAATCGATTTTTCAAAGAATATTCCTGTTTACTGGACATATTGAACGATCTTATTACCTTTGGCCAGGCGGATATGTCCGAGTAAATGTAACGATCTGCGGCCTGCATTTTATCAGCACTAACATCCGTACTGTCAGCATCATTCAATTCACACACTCTGTTACTCTTGTCATAGTTAAACGATTTACAACGGGCCAGAGGAGTGCATTCCCGTACGCAATCATGTAGCGATTTATCTTTTATCTCCATAAATTGATGCCCAGTAAGTCGAATATTGACATTGTTCTTCCCTACACCTATTTCTGTACCTATCAATCCAAACACTTCATATGTGCCAAACACATATACAATAAATCCACAAATATACATTTCCAACTCCTTATTTAGATAATACGGGTAACATTTATATCTCCAAAATAATTTGTTTGTTTTTTATTTAGCGAAATGGATATGTTGTTATATAGTCCAGTTTTTTTTTTGTAGTCTTAAATTACAATCTGTCTCTTTTTAAAAAACAAATATTAAATTTTCTTGGTAAAGTCACATTATCCATAAAGCCCGGAATGACAGATTATAAACTAAGCGATGATCGTTTCAAAGTGGTAACTTCTAATTACTTTATCAATTATTGATGACATATATTCATTCCGAACTTCAGTCAACTTGACTTTGTGTTCAGCACGTTTTCATTCATCGGTCTCTTTAACTGCTCACATATTCATTTACTTGTAAAGTTAGTCAATACCTATGACAGAAATATATTCATTGCCAGCGAAACGATTGTGTCACCCCTTTATCAGCCATTGGGTCTTGAATTAACGCATTGACATTAGTTATTAAATCATAATTTCTAACTTGCCTTGCAGACACATGATCTATATCATCTACCTTAAACGTTAACTTACCTGTCTGTCTGCATTTATTTCTAAACAATAAGGTAAATGCAACATATCTAATGCTTGTAAACGCACGTTTACGTATTACATTATGTATTTAATTTACAACAATTTAGTAAAAGTATTTCAATAAATGAGCCCAAAAAGACCAGCAAAAATATGATACAACACTCAGATGAATAAAGAAATGTGTATTTATGTATTAATAACGAAAACAATGCTAAGATCTATTATTTTTGTTCTTCGTATAACCATAAGCGTGTATCAGTGACCTCAAACCCCACCCCCAACATCACGAAAAAAAATGATGAAGAACCAAACACCTTATTCCTAACAGGGTCTTTCAAATAGAATGTGATTTAATCGTATCATGTACTTTTTTTATAATAATTCACGATGTTATTTACAAATATTTGATGTTTAATTTGGTGCATTTTCAAAATGACGCCGTTTGTCTGCAAATATTCTGAAAAAGCAATCTGTGTTTTTCAACAGATCATGGCTTTTAAAACATAATGTAATGAAATATTTATCTTTTTTTCCACAAATTTAAATTTTGTTGAAGAACATCATGTTATTTTAATTTAAATACTTGCTCTTGTATTTAATTTTCGCCCATTCCTTGAACACTTACATATTTTGCGTATCGCAAACTATACCGAGTTATACCGAGTTATACCGAGACATGTTTAATTGTAGCGAGAGGGGTTTATATAGAACGTTTCCAGGCCATTCTATTTGAAAGACACTGTTCCTAATTCCAAAATGACAACAGTTAAAAATTTCTTCAATGAAATTTTCAAGGCAATTATTTTGATATATGTCTTTTCAAGGATGGTTGCATTTAGTTGCAAAACATTGGTACTTATAAACAGTTACAAATAGAGCTCTTGCAGAGATATTGTTATTTTCCTATAAATCAGATCGATTTTATCAAACAAAAACCTCTAATGTGACATTAGAGGTTTTTGTTCTTTGAACAAGCAATAAACCGAGACTAATGAAAGGAAGAAATAAAAAGAATCTCTCAAAGAGAGCTGAGGTCACAAGAGAACAGAAATGAATAATTGTCATAAATATTGAAGGAAGTCATCAGAACTTACAATGCGAAAAAAAATTAAGGTTATGAATATGTAAAACAAATCCCAAGAACTCATAACGAAACAATAATTAAAACTTGTCAAAGGTATGCTATGAATGTCTCTGATCGTTTTAAAAGCATATCAGAATCTAATTTATTGTTATTGTTATTGTTTATCATCTTTAGGCAGGACAAATATGATTTTATCCTGCTTAAATTATGGTTTTAAAGTATGCTTATTACCTGAAGAAATCGGTGATAAATAAGGTAATAATTTGTCAAAAATGTAGCAAATTGTAAACAAAGTTGTATTTTGACTTTCATACAAAATGCTAAATCACTATAATTTTGCACTATTTGCCAAAAAGCAACAGAAGAAAAAAGATGATTCTGGTAATTGGCCAATGGGTAACTTTTGGCAACTATAAAAGAACAATAAAAAAGCTTTTAAGAAATAGAATAAAATATTTCTAGGGCATTAAAGGCCTTTGAGGATTAAGAAACCTAATGATAGTGTTCCGCAACTTAGTATATTTTTTTCTACATGTAAAAGTTTATAAAATGATTGTCACTTTATAATTTGTAGGTCAAAGTTCAGATGCTAATATCTAAGTTCGTAAGTAGAATTTTGAAAAAAAAAAAAAAAAACTTTATTTCACTCTAAATGAACCTAACCAATGGAACATAAATCAGTTTTTTAGGAAATGGAGCTTTAAAGGCTATAATGATATATCCGTTGTTTCTTTAAAATTTTGTCTAACATGTTATTGATAAAGTTGCAAAATATGTTAACATATCTAACATTTTGCGGAGATTGAGGATATTGAATGAGTGAAGGTACAATATTGAATTTATTGAACGAGTGGAATGAAATTAATTTAAATTTCATTAATTAATGCGTTGACGAGATATTTTATTCACGAGTTCTATAAATTTATTGAATTATTGATGAAGCTACATGCCTACGGCCTTTGTGGTCAATTTCTACGCATCAAAACTCCAAACCGGTGATAAATAGCCGATAAACACCTCTGAAACCAATATTATTTCAATGCAATTTGTTTTATTCTTTGAAAACACATTTTTGTTTGAATAGGAACAGCCAACAGTTCAAATATTTAAGGTAGTCTCACTGTAATTCTTTCCCGCCAAAAAATCTAACATCGACCAGTATCGTAGCAAATCGTTTTTTTTTCCGGAACGTTATTTTTTCAATATCTTCGGTATTAGATTACTTACAATCACTCATCCTTTATTGTTATGCATTAAATTCCGGTTAAAAACGATTGGAAACTATTAAATACCTAAGATCGTGAAAAATAACGTTCCGGAATTTTGCCGATTTAATACGATATTGGCCGATGGCCATTTGTCAACAATTATTTATTGTCTGTAACAATCCTCAAATAAGTTTTATTTCTTATGAATGTATGTAGAATTAACAAATTTAAATGAAATCCGTCTGAATCAAAACACAATTTTTCCTCCGGTCGCTTACATTTCAAAAGACAATTTAATATAAACTTCCACGATAAATAACTGAAATAAACTCAGCGCAGTATAACTTTTTCTTCTTCTAGAATTGTTTGTGTTTATGACCAAACAAGCGATGATTCATATTTTTTGTATGAAATTGAACATATTTATTTATTAAATAAATCCATAAAACATTTACAGAGACATTCTGTACAAAAGTTATAAGAGCGAAGAGAATCGTTCACACAAGAAACTGCTTTTCACTAAAATCAAGTACAAAATGTGGCTAAAAAATAATTATCCTAAGTACCTGTAAAAATATTGCTGAACAAAGTTTGTAAAATGCTAATTAGTTAAAACCAGGAGATATAGTTAAAATGTTATACATGTACAATTAATCCAAATAAGTTAATTAGTCCTAGTTACAAAAATGTACATGTAAATTTGAAATTTGATTTTGGTATAGAAGGGTTTCTAAAATGAGTAACATTATTTTTTTTCAACATTTATAGTCATACCATTTATAGTACACCAATTAGACAATAAATTCAGCATGCATTGAAGGTTTTTCTTCATTCTAGCTATTAATACAATGTTATCAGCATAGAGAAGAATTCCATCAATGTCTACTTTTTGATAACAAAGCTAAATCATTTATATAATATATCAAACAAAATAGCGGACATCCTTAAATTGCCTTTCTTGCCTTACCAGTATTTACTGGAACTCAGTCAGTTGTTAAACTGTTTACCCTAACACAAGATGTGACATTGCAGTTTAGAGATTTTACAGCATTTAACTTTTATTAATTGAATCAAATGCTTTTCGAAAATCAATAAAAGCACAAAAGGTAGATAATTTACATTTCTTGCGATATTAGTTAATGTACACACATGGTAAATAGTACTACGATTTCTTCGGAATCCGTTTTGCTCTTCTATTTCAGTATCAACATTACTGGTCTAATTAACAATTCGGTCATTAAAAATGCTGGTATATACCTTATACATAGAACAAGCAAGGGAAATACCTTTATAAGACAAAGGTTGGCGTTTATCCTTATTCTGGGGTAAAAATATATTTCGACCAAGTTGAGGGTACTTTTCGTGTTTCAAAACACACATTAAATAGACTATGCAGAATCAAATCAATATAGCTTTGCCATTTTTCAAAACATCCACAGGAATAAGATCAATACCTGTAGTTCTGTTAAACATGGATTTTCAATAACTTTAGCAATTTCATTTATGTAATTAGCAAGCCCCTGGACATATACATGTTCTGTGGATACATTAATTGTTTCATTACTTACAGAATTATAAATGCTCAAAAGATTAAAAAAAAAATCTTTCCATTTTAACAAAACTGACATCAAATGAGATACTACCATCATCTTATACAACTTGCTTTTGCATGCTTTTCATACTGTCAGTATTAGTTCCGATTTTCCCAATTCTGAAATGAGTTGTCATTTTTGTCAACTTCATTCAACAATTTATTTTGTGTGTCATACCAGTACAATCGTTTACAACGTTGAACCTTTCTATAAAAATATTTTCTTAAATATCTATACTGGTGTTTATACTCAATTTGTAAAATTCTATTTTTACATTTTAACCATTTTCTTTCTGCCTCACACAATTTTAGCGAATGGTTATTCAGATCCGAATACCACAAAGTCTTACTTTTAAACTGTTTTGCATGATTCATAATGTTAATAACTTTATAAGGAACTTTACTATACATATTTGTTTAGATCAGTTCACATCAACCATCATACACTGTATTAATATCACTTTGTGTTATCATACCTTGCACAATATTATTAATAAAACTATTGAATTGCTCTAATGTATCATGATCTAACATAGATTCAGGTGGTATTGATTTCAAATCAAATTTCACAAATTTACTTTCATTATCTTCTACATGTATACAATCAGCAATAGATGTATCTATTTTGATAAAGAATGATAGCAAAACATGAACTAACATTAAGTGTAGTAAGCAAATCTGATACATGAATAAACTTTTTATAATAATCTTAATTATCGTGACATACTAAATGATAATCCTAAACTGAACAATCTTTTTAAAAATATTGATATATGTAATCATTTACCTCGTACTTACGAACATTAAACATACAAAGTTACAATCAATTAAATCATTTACCTCGTAGTTACGAACATTAAACATACAAAAGTTACAATCAATTAAATATTGCACAAAAAGTTCACCGTATGCATTACTTTTAA